TATCAGTTTAACTTTATACGGGAAGAGCATCCATGAAACAGAGGATCTGAACCATCAGTTGTTTTTGTGAAAGATTGCTCATGGAATAGAGTTATTGATTTGCGTCAAAATGAACCATTTATCTTAAATATTCTGAAGTTTAGCTTGTTTTTCATTGTTTATTATTAAGGACATAAAAAGGACAAATGTGTTCTTGGTATTGTAATCTCAAGGACCATTAGTCTGATATTGCTATTCTGCCAAGTGCATGTATAGTGTAAATTTTTAAACACTTGTACACATGATTTGTCTTATATGGGTAATTTACTCAAGAGCAAGCTGTAGGAAGTCATTTATCCATGAATTTTTGTTATGGTAGTAATTGAGCAAAATTGGTAGATCACACGACCACATGATTTTCTTTGACGAAGTGAACAACGATGAACTACTCTACCTTAGATTGAATTGGAATGGGTGAACTTTATCCTATTGTTCAAACTCATTAGGATTGGGTTTGACATTATTTAGCTTGGTGTGGTTCAAATTGATCCATTTTTTAGTTTGATCACAAAAAGCTTTTTGATTTCTGATTATTTCTCGTAATTTCATAAAACTATGCACATTAATTCGTACATGAATACCAAGAATTTGAGCTCATTAATTTGAAATAACAAATAGTGAATTGAAGAAATTAAAAAATACCAATAACTTTTTTTTTCTTTTTCTTTTTGCAACGAATCTTAAAAGTATCTTCAATAATTTTCCTATTTTTTAATAGCATATTTACAGTTAAAGAATATTTATAAATTTAGAGAATAATTTTTTTTATAAATATTTTGACAGATTTTTTATCTTTAACTTTTAATTTTATTACGCTAAAAAATATTTATTGTTCTCTCCGGAGATTTCCTGGTTAGAGAATGATTCTTTCTAAAGTGCTCTAAGCTTGGTTAAATGGTAAAATTTATGAAAGCCCTAACAACAGAAATGGCAATACTAACAGGCAAAAGATTGAGTTAGGGGGCCTGTCCAGATGTGAGAGGACGTGGGGGTGGGACCCTTTTTTTCTTTTTTAAATTGCTATGGGACTCGACCCTCTACAGTGAGGGGGCCTGTACAGCTCGTTTACATGGAGCTCGATCCATAATAAAATCTCTCACATACAAAATAAAGGGTATTTTTGTTCATTGTGCAATATTAAAGTGATTACGTGACTTTGACATGTAAGTGATAATATTGATCGAGCTCCATGTACAAGGTTGTACAATCCCCTCACTGCAGGGGGTCGAATCTCATAGAATTTTTTTTTAAAAAAAAGGTGGGGCCCGCCCTGACCTCCTCTCTCACAGGCCCTGTAACTCCATCTTTTTCCAATATTAAGAGGTTAAAAATTAAGGGGATGTATTCAACTGAAACTTTTAATCACTTTTTGAGATTTAAAAAGTTTAGAGATATTCAATTGAGATTTTTTTAGACTCTATAAAAATCACGGTGTATTTAATTGAAACTTTTATAGACTTTTAAGAAGTCTATAAAAATTTCGGTGTATTCAATTCAGATTTTTTAAAAGTCTCTATAAGTTTAGGGGTATTCGAATTTTAATAACTTTTAAAAACTTTTATAAAAGTCTCTGAAGCACTAACTTTTAAATAAAAAATACTCATATAAAATTTTAAAATTTGTTTCTCATGAATCACGAGATTTTGGGAGACTTTCACAATTTTTTTTCAATCTTTATTTCTTTAATATTTTATGGACATGTATGATTAAAATTTATTTTTTTATTGATTATATTTATTTCTATTTTTTATTCTTTCTCTATCTTATTATTTATCTCTATTTTCTATGAAAAAAAATTAAATTGAATTCTTGTAACTTTTTTCTTTTTTTCGTTCTTTATTTTTGTAAAAAATATCTATTTTTTATACTTAATTATGGAAGTTTGGCTTCTGCTTATGTCTAAAAAAGGAATCCAATTTGCTCTCTGCTTTTATTTATCTCTTTTAATGGAAGAGGTTTCTATACTTGTTTTAAAAAAATAAAAATAAAAAAAATTACCTCCAAAGTTTTGACATAGTTATTACAATGTTGATGCATTCCCTTTGTCAAGATATTACTGGTTGAATCAAAATATATGGGTCATCTGGTCAAAATTTTGAATTTGTAAATTTTGCTGACTGTTATTTGTCAACTTATGACAATTTTTTTCTTTTTTTTTCTTTTTTTTTTTTTGGCTTTATACAGATAATGGTGGCTAGGAGGATGTTACAGTAGATCAAAGTTTGTGCAGCAGCTGAAGTGTGAATTTTGCATACTTGCCTTTTCATTTTGAGTTGAGAAGTTAATGAATTGTTTACCTTTGCTAGAGCCCAACTGGAGTGCAAATACCTGTTTGAAGGATATGAAGTATAGAGATAGCAGTCTCCAGGATTTTGATTTTTGGAGTCAGTCACCATCTTTAGTGTTTCATTTTTGTCTTTTGAGTGAGATGTAAAATTATATCGCGGCATATAGTTAAAAAAAAAAAAAAATGTATGATGCATCTCTACCGAGCAGCGATACAGAAAAAAGAGGAAAAAAATGACAGATTATTAAACTTTTTTTAAATCTTTTGTCATGCTGTAGTGAAATGACTCTACAAAGATAAAAGTCATTGTTTCAAGTTCATTTGGATGATTTTTCTGTTTCAGCGGTTAATTTTTGTTTAACCTTGTCCGCCTGATCAAGTGGTCACAATTCTGATTGTCATAATTTATTTGGATGTCTTAGGTTGAGTTTTTAGATGCATGATAGTCTTGTTTTCCAACCATTATTGAACTATAAAATGTTTTCAAATAGTCATTCTCCTTTTATCCCTTGTTTGATTTAGATGAGATTTTAGAATTTTAATGGATTTTGATAAAAGTTTATGAAATATGTGATTAAAAAATTGTGGATCATGGTTAAAATTAATTGTAAATCTAAACTTAAATTTTAATCCAACTTTTTAGTTGAACCAAATGAGGACTTAAGGTGGTTTGGAATGGGGACTAGAACCCTTTGTATGAAGAAACAAGGTACTTGAACACTTGTAGATGTAACAATTTTAAGTGTTGAAAATCAAGTTAAAATCATATACAAAATACAATGAGAAAAAGATGGAAGTAAAAAAAAAGTTATGGTAGTAATTGAGCAAAATTGGTAGATCACACGACCACATGATTTTCTTTGACGAAGTGAACAACGATGAACTACTCTACCTTAGATTGAATTGGAATGGGTGAACTTTATCCTATTGTTCAAACTCATTAGGATTGGGTTTGACATTATTTAGCTTGGTGTGGTTCAAATTGATCCATTTTTTAGTTTGATCACAAAAAGCTTTTTGATTTCTGATTATTTCTCGTAATTTCATAAAACTATGCACATTAATTCGTACATGAATACCAAGAATTTGAGCTCATTAATTTGAAATAACAAATAGTGAATTGAAGAAATTAAAAAATACCAATAACTTTTTTTTTCTTTTTCTTTTTGCAACGAATCTTAAAAGTATCTTCAATAATTTTCCTATTTTTTAATAGCATATTTACAGTTAAAGAATATTTATAAATTTAGAGAATAATTTTTTTTATAAATATTTTGACAGATTTTTTATCTTTAACTTTTAATTTTATTACGCTAAAAAATATTTATTGTTCTCTCCGGAGATTTCCTGGTTAGAGAATGATTCTTTCTAAAGTGCTCTAAGCTTGGTTAAATGGTAAAATTTATGAAAGCCCTAACAACAGAAATGGCAATACTAACAGGCAAAAGATTGAGTTAGGGGGCCTGTCCAGATGTGAGAGGACGTGGGGGTGGGACCCTTTTTTTCTTTTTTAAATTGCTATGGGACTCGACCCTCTACAGTGAGGGGGCCTGTACAGCTCGTTTACATGGAGCTCGATCCATAATAAAATCTCTCACATACAAAATAAAGGGTATTTTTGTTCATTGTGCAATATTAAAGTGATTACGTGACTTTGACATGTAAGTGATAATATTGATCGAGCTCCATGTACAAGGTTGTACAATCCCCTCACTGCAGGGGGTCGAATCTCATAGAATTTTTTTTTAAAAAAAAGGTGGGGCCCGCCCTGACCTCCTCTCTCACAGGCCCTGTAACTCCATCTTTTTCCAATATTAAGAGGTTAAAAATTAAGGGGATGTATTCAACTGAAACTTTTAATCACTTTTTGAGATTTAAAAAGTTTAGAGATATTCAATTGAGATTTTTTTAGACTCTATAAAAATCACGGTGTATTTAATTGAAACTTTTATAGACTTTTAAGAAGTCTATAAAAATTTCGGTGTATTCAATTCAGATTTTTTAAAAGTCTCTATAAGTTTAGGGGTATTCGAATTTTAATAACTTTTAAAAACTTTTATAAAAGTCTCTGAAGCACTAACTTTTAAATAAAAAATACTCATATAAAATTTTAAAATTTGTTTCTCATGAATCACGAGATTTTGGGAGACTTTCACAATTTTTTTTCAATCTTTATTTCTTTAATATTTTATGGACATGTATGATTAAAATTTATTTTTTTATTGATTATATTTATTTCTATTTTTTATTCTTTCTCTATCTTATTATTTATCTCTATTTTCTATGAAAAAAAATTAAATTGAATTCTTGTAACTTTTTTCTTTTTTTCGTTCTTTATTTTTGTAAAAAATATCTATTTTTTATTAAATTATAAAATATTATATGAAAAGTTTATAATTAAATAATTTATTTTTAAAAGTATATTATACTAATAATATTGAATCATATATATGTATAATTTTTATTATTATTTATTTAATTAAAATCTTAAATTTTTATTTTCTCAAATATTTTTAATATTGGAAGAAGAATGGAAAGGATGGAAGATTGTGGAAGTACCACCTGATACGTGAGAATTTCACATAATTATACTAGATCCAAATGAATTATATTTCAAATGAAAAATTTCAAAAGTCTTTAAAATTCTACAAAAGATTATAAAAATTTTAAAGTGATATTCCATGGAAGTCTATCAAATACTTTAACTAACTTCGCACAAATCTATAAAAATGTACCAAATCTACAAAAGTCAATCACTTGATAAAATTCCTTCAAAGTCCCAATTGAAAGAAAATTTCCTGCCATTTGTGTGCTTCTCTAGTGTTTGATTTAAAGCATCAAAGAAAATTTCTCAACTCATTTTGGGGTATAGATCAATTGATGGCTTGCCAAAACTGCTATATACGAGATGAATTTAAGTAGCTTGAGTGTATAATGTTAATTCTGAGGTGTAAATCTTTTGTAGGTACTGATAAAGATAGGATGAAGGCGAGCTTGGAAGGCGAAAAGGCTAGTTAAAAAAAAAAAAAAAAAAATGTACGATGCATCTCTACCGAGCAGCGATACAGAAAAAAGAGGAAAAAATGACAGATTATTAAACCTTTTTTTTAAATCTTTTGTCATGCTGTAGTGAAACGACTCTACAAATATAAAAGTCATTGTTTCAAGTTCATGTGGATGATTTCCGAGCCCCTCACACTTGAACAAGAATTTGACATGCAAGTCTCCTGGACACAAGACCCCCTCAGTATGCATAATATACCTGTATAATTATCATTGCTTGGTAAATTTTTGAGGGTTTCGATTTAACTCTAGGTTGTCTTTACTTTTCAAGCAAAATCAGAGAAAAGAATAAAGATGATTTTTGTAGTTGGCTTCTGTTTTTGCAGAGCGGACTTTTATAGTACTGGACAAAGAATTGGTTGTTGGAGACTTCATTCCTGGAGATCCCCATGTTGAAGGTGGTCATCATCTTCGTCATCATTATTATTATTTCTACTCTGAATTCACAAATAGTGTCATCTAATCCTGGCGTATCATGGTGCAATATATGATTACCATAGGCTAATTGTTCAATTTGAGGCATTCTTCTTCTTTAATGAGTTCGAGTTTCATATATTATTTATTTATTATTTTTTTTTTCTAAAGTATAAGATCCTTTATGTTGTGTGGCTTGAATTTTTTTGGGTATTAATAGAAGCCTCACGTTATGGTAGTAATTGAGCAAAATTGGTAGATCACACGACCACATGATTTTCTTTGACGAAGTGAACAACGATGAACTACTCTAGCTTAGATTGAATTGGAATGGGTGAACTTTATCCTATTGTTCAAGCTCATTAGTGTATGTCTGGGAACAATTTTAAGCAACTTCTAATTACAAATTTGATCGTTAGCCATTTTTTTATTTCAAAGCCTATAGATTCTACTGACATTGGCAGATCACATAATGCTCTACTTTTCTAAAATTGCCCTTCCATTACATACAACCAACAACCCACCTACCAAAATCAATTTGAGGGCAAATATGAGAATATATTTGAATAATAAATGCACCATACTCAAGGATTTCATGATGATTTGACAGGAAAATCACTTGTGGATTTTTGACAATTGCTTCCAGACACACGCATAATTTAGCTTGGTGTGGTTCAAATTGATAATTTTTTAGTTTGATCACAAAAAGTTTTTGATTTCTGATTATTTCTCGTAATTTCATAAAACTATTCGCATTAATTCGTACATGAATACCGAGAATTTGAGCTCATTAATTTGAAATAACAAATAGTGAATTGAAGAAATTAAAAAATACCAATAACTTTTTTTTTTCTTTTTCTTTTTACAATGAATCTTAAAAGTATCTTCAAGAAATTTCCTATTTTTCTAAGAGCATATTTACAGCTAAAGAATATTTATAAATTTAGAGAATAATTTTTTTGCTATAAATATTTTGACAGATTTTTTATCTTTAACTTTTAATTTTATTACCCTAAAAAATATTTATTGTTCTCTCCAGAGATTTCCTGGTTAGAGAACGATTCTTTCTAAAGTGCTCTAAGCTTGGTTATTTCTTTTAGAAATATCCATTGGCTTCAATTATTTGGATGGAATTGACAAGAATGTTGCAGCGAAATTCACGACACTCACAAAATTGTGCTCTCAGAAATAGAAATAAAACACTAATCTGTAGATTAGCATAACAGTGATTGCATCTTCTGACCTCTGTTGTTACAAATATATTTACCTCATCCTGATTTGATTTCTCAAATCAATAGAATTGCAATAATAAAGAGATTTATGTACCAAAATGAATTAAGATTTTCAAAGACTGCTGGAATTTCCAGGAAGTTGTGCCAGATTTATAGGCCGACCTAGCAACAACAATTAGAACAGACTAGGTCTTATTTCTTATTCCCTCGATTTTTTGTTCCTGTACATGGGGGCCTATACAGCTCCTGTACATGGAGCTCGATCCATAATAAAATATCTCAAATAATCAATAAAGGGTATTTTTGTTTGTTGTGCAATATTAAAGTGATTATGGGACTTTGACTTGTTAAGTGATAATATTAACCGAGCTCCGTGTACAGGGTTGTACAAGCCCCTCACTACAGGGGGTCGAATCTCACATCAATTTAAGAAAAAAAGGTGGGGCCCATCCCCACCTCCTCTCTCATCTGGCATGGGCTTGTGAACCAGGCCCCTGTAACTCCATCTTTATCCAATATTGAGAGGTCACAAATTAAGGAGGATGTATTCAATTGAGACTTTTAATGACTTTTTGGGATTTAAAAAATTTAGAGGTATTCAATTGAGACTTTTTGAGACTCTTTAAAAGTCACGGTGTATTTAATTGAGACTTTTATAAATTTTTAAGAAATCTCTAAAAATCACGGTGCATTCAATTGAGACTTTTTAAAAAATCTCTAAGTCTAGGGGTATTCGAATTTTAATAACTTTTAGAAACTTTTATAAAAGTATCTGGAGTACTGACTTTTAAGTAGAAAATACTCGTATAAAAGCTTAAAATTTGTCTCTCATGATTCACGAGATTTTGGGAGACTTTCACAATTTTTTTTTTCAATCTTTCTTTTAATATTTTATGGATATGTATGATTAAAATTTATTTTTTTCTATTGATTATATTTATTTCTATTTTTTATTCTTTCTCACTCCTATTATTTATCTCTATTTTCTATAAAAAAAAATTAAATTGAATTCTTGTAACTTTTTTCGTTTTTCATTCTTTTTTTTTGTGAAAAATATCTATTTTTTATTGAATTATAAAATTTTATATGAAAAATTTATAATTAAATTATTTATTTTTAAAAGTATGCAATACTAATAATATTGAATCACACACACATATATATAATTATTATTATTATTTATTTAATTAAGGTCTTAAATTTTTATTTTTTCAAATATTTTTAATATTGGAAGTTGGAAGAAGAATGGAAAGAATGATGAATTGTGGGAAATAATACTATGAAGAATTGTGGAACTAACACCTAATATGTGAGAAATTCACACAATTATACTAAATCTACGTGAATTATATTTCAAATGAAAATTTTCGACAACCTTTAGAATTCAATAAAAATTTTAAAATAAAAATCCACAGAAGTCTTACGAAAAACTTTCACTAATTTTCTACAAATCTATAAAACTCTACCAAATCTACAAAATTATCACTTAAGGGGGTGTATTCAATTGAAACTTTTAATTACTTTTCGAATTTAAAAAGTTTAGAGGTATTCAATTGAGACTTTTTGAGACTCACTAAAAGTCACGGTGTATTCAATTAAGACTTTTATAGACTTTTAAAAAGTCTCTAAAAGTTACGGTGTATTTAATTAATTTTTTTTAGAAATCTCTATAAGTCTTGGGGTATTCAAATTTAATGACTTGTAGAGACTTTTATAAAAGTCTCTGGAGTACTAACTTTTAGGCAAAAAGTCCTTATATAATATCTTAAAATTTTTCTTTCATTAGTCACAAGATTTTGGAAGACTTTCAAAAAAAAAAAAAAAGCATTTTTTTTCTAATCTTTTTTTCCTTTAACCTTCTATGGATATGTTAAAATTTATTTTTTTTCTATTTATTACATTCCATTTATTTTTCTTTCTCTCCCTTATTATTTATCACTATTTTTTATGAAAAAATTAAATTGGATTCTCGTAACATTTTTTTCCTTTTTCATTCATTTTTTTTGTAAAAAATATTATTTTTTAGTAAATTATAAAATTTTATATGGAAAACTATATATATGTATAGTTTTAATTATTAATTATTTAATTAAGGTCTTAAATTTTTATTTTTTCAATTTTTCTTATTATATGGGAAGAAGAAGGGGAATGAAAAAGGACATTATGAAAACTAAGAATGAAAAAGGAAATTATGAAAACTAACACTTCGTATATAATAATTTCACACCAAATTCATGTGAATTCTATTTTAAATAAAAGTTTTCAAAAGTCTTTTGAATTTAACGAAATTTTATAAAAATTTCAAAATGAAAACTCATAGAAGTCTACTACTTTTCCTAATTTCATACAAATTTTGAAAAGATCAACGAAATTCATAAAAATCATTATTTAAAAAATGTCCATCAAAATCTTTAAAAGTTTCGATTGAACACGCCACCTTATAAAACCTTAAACGTCCCAATTGAAAGAAGAATTTCATGCCATTTGTGTCCTTATCTAGTGGTTGATTTAAAGCATCAAAGAAAATTTCTCAACTCATTTTGGGGTATAGATCAATTGATTGCTTGCCAAAACTGCTATATACGAGATGAATTTAAGTAGCTTGAGTGTATAATGTTAATTCTGAGGTGTAAATTTTTTGTAGGTACTGATAAAGATAGGATGAAGGCGAAAAGGTGATACTGGTACCTTACATGAGAGAGCACGTGCCTAAATACCATGATTGGATGCAAGATCCTGCCATCCTCGAAGCCACAGCTTCCGAGCCCCTCACACTTGAACAAGAATTTGACATGCAAGTCTCCTGGACACAAGACCCCCTCAGTATGCATAATATACCTGTATAATTATCATTGCTTAGTAAATTTTTGAGGGTTTCGATTTAACTTTAGGTTGTCTTTACTTTTCAAGCAAAATCAGAGAAAAGAATAAGGATGATTTTTGTAGTTGGCTTCTGTTTTTGCAGAGCGGACTTTTATAGTACTGGACAAAGAATTGGTTGTTGGAGACTTCATTCCTGGAGATCCCCATGTTGAAGGTGGTCATCATCTTCGTCATCATTATTATTATTTCTACTCTGAATTCACAAATAGTGTCATCTAATCCTGGCGTATCATGGTGCAATATATGATTACCATAGGCTAATTGTTCAATTTGAGGCATTCTTCTTCTTTAATGAGTTCGAGTTTCAGATATTATTTATTTATTATTTTTTTCTAAAGTATAAGATCCTTTATGTTGTGTGGCTTGAATTTTTTTTGGGTATTAATAGAAGCCTCATGGCTAGTTATAGCTTGGAGGCTGTTGAAAACATTTGAATTCTTCTTTGGATCAGAGGGGATGTTTGTAGTTATTGATTTTTTATGTTCCAATTTATACAAGAAAAGGACAATAATTTTCACACAAATGACAGAAGCACTGGAATGAGAGTATATTTCTTCATTGTTCAAGCTGTAATGCCTTTGGGATAAAGACATGTAATTTTGGCTTATTACCATGTTTCAACATATCAAAATTTTGATAATAAATGGTTGAAAAGAAAGATTTTCTGCTTTTGGTTCCGCTACCCTATACTATACCATTCTTGTTTGTAATTTTCTGTTTCAGCCATGGTTGGTGATGTGAATATATATATGAATGACATGGATGACCCCCAAATGGCTGAGATTGAAATAATGATTGCTGAACTAAAAAGGTATTTCCCTTCTAAATATAATAATTCATTTTTCTCTGTTGTAGCACTTCTTCCTTTTTCATTTTAATAAAAATTGCTCAGCTTTCAGTTTTTAACTTTTGTTCAGGTCCATAAAAGCAATGCATGAAAAGTTCCTTCTTTTCTGCTATTATTCATTATGCTGAAAGTTAGGAATATCAATTAAGTACCTAAAAGAACTTATTTAATTTCTTTTAGAAATATCCATTGGCTTCAATTATTTGGATGGAATTGACAAGAATGTTGCAGCGAAATTCACGACACTCACAAATTTTTGCTCTCAGAAATAGAAATAAAATACTAATCTGTAGATTAGCATAACAGTGATTGCATCTTCTGACCTCTGTTGTTACAAATATATTTACCTCATCCTGATTTGATTTCTCAAATCAATAGAATTGCAATAATAAAGAGATTTATGAGTATGCTACCTGTTGAGCTGTCTGGAATCTGAAGGGGAGTTTACATTTGCATCCCAGTCAGGCTTTGCCATCCTATGAAATTGTCTAGTTCACGAAAGCTTGTTTTATTTGTATAGTTTCCTTAAGCAATTCAGGTTGACTGCTGGTTAGATTTTATTCCATCTGTTACAACTCTTCTGCTTAAATATGTAAAGGAGACTATGGCCTGTTTGGCTGGGGTTTTGCTTATTCTTCTTGTGGAAGAGTTTTCTAAAAAAGTTATGTTAGGCCAACCTCCTTTGAAAGCTCTTCTAATCATCACATTGACGGAGACAGTCTACTATGTATTGAAATGGTAAAAGTATGAACTTGCTATAAGTTCTTGACGTGGTTAATATGGTGGTTTTGATGCCTTTGGGTGCGATGATTGTAAGGTATATGAAGTTCATGGAGTAAATATGGTGAGTTCATAGGAATATTGGCATAGCCTTCTTTGTCCTTGAAACTCTTTAAGCAAATTAACAAATTTTATTGGAACGTCTACCACTGTCGAGTTGGATATACTATAATCGTTCTTAGCATAGTCAACATCTTCTAGGGATTAGAAATATTTGACCCTCAAAATGTATGGAGAAAACAAACATTGGTATTCTTATATTATCCAATATGACAATTACATGGTATGTTGTGCTAAAGAGGAAAAGGAACTTTAATAAATGCGCACACGCCACGATTAATCAATTGAATAGTGAAAAGAGTATCCAATCTCTTCATATTGTGTCAACCTAAGACGTATTGCCCTCGTTTGATTGTCCCTCACATGTCAACTCTTGTTAGCTAAAAGGTTAAAGCTCTGTGTATAGAGTTTTTTTTTTTTACAGAGGTTTTATCGACTCCTCACATGGGGTCGACCCCTCACATGGGGTCGGTCCCACGTGGGTCCCGATGTAATAAAAAATGAAGAATTTTTTTTCGACCCCACCTCTCTGTGAGAACCTTGTAAGGGTTCTATAATGTGCTGGAAATTGTGCTAGTTTGCTTCTCAGTACTAATTTAGATAACTCGCTTTCAGTTTTCAAGCATGTCGATGCTATGTCACTTTCCAGTTATACATATTATAGCTATAACCTTAGGAATCACTTTACTCACACAGGACAAGTTTTCCATAAAATGCACTTTTGAAATTGAGTGAAAGTTAATTTTCTTTTTGCTATTATATGAACTGCTCTAATTTTTCTCTTGTTTTCAGCTATAAATAGAGAACGATATTCGATTAAAAAGGAATGAATATCAGGTTTACTAATTTAGATTATCTAAATTTACGAGATAAACGTTGAGCTTATGATAGTGTTCAAGTATCAGTTTGTCACTAGGAGGCTTTAAATGACCTGCGCCGTTACCTTTTCCAAACTTAATTTTCAATTTTTAAACAATTTACACACTAAAATTTAGTTTGCAATTACTTTATTCGTTGTCATACAATACAAGCAACAAGAAATTAACTCTTTTCACATATCTTCATCATTCCCTATAATTTTAAACGTTTTAAATCGACCTGAACATTGACTCGAAAAAAGTTGAAAAAACATGAGCCAAATGGTTGAATCAGAATTGAAAGTCGACCGCTAGTAAAAGAAAACTACAAAGTAAATTTCTAATTGAACCATGCATTCTTCATTTATTTTAAGAAATTATTATCTTTTAATATTTTGCTTAGCGGTGAATTTAATTAGGATAGATTTAAGATAACATATTAATTACTGATGACATATCGAGAATTAATTGAATGAACTTGCTTCTTAAAATTGGATCGTTTCTCGATTTTATTGATCAAACCAGCTGTCTGATCCTACTTCGACGACATTGACAAATTGAGTTTCTCAATTAGGAGGCTTACATAAAATGATGTTCATTTGTGTAGTGTAATTATTATATAAATTGAATTTCTCATAATAAATAAATAAGTACATCAATACTAAACAATCCATTTTATGGAAAATAATAATAAAGACGGACAACAAAACTTAAAAGTGCAGTAATTAACAGATTTTTTAGATAATACATAATAAAATAAATTAAAACGAAAGTTAATTGAAGGTTAAAAAAAACTGAAATAATTAGACAAAATATTGAGAGATTTTTAGAAGTTGTAACAATTAGAGAGAATTTTGTGAAAAATATGAGTATTATTGTAGATTAAAGGGTAAATTTGATTGGAGTTGGAAGTCACCCAATTTTTGGTCAAGGAATTGTGGTAGTAATCGGGAACATGATCCTCGTCTTGACCCTTATTCTTAATTTATCCTATTCTTTTATGTTTTCAATTTTAAATATTTTAAAAAATACGATGACTCTGATGGGTGATTTTGCTAGAATAGTAAATAATGAGACCATAATTTTAGTAAATGATGCGAAAAAAGATAGTGACATTGATAAAATAAATAAATGAGAAAGTAATAAATGAAAATATTTTAATCCAACCCCGCCTCCTGCGAATCCTTATTGGGGGTACCAAGAGGGTCACCTGTTGCCATCCCTATTTGGACCCAAACTACAACATTAACTAGTTCATAGGCGAAAGGCATACGAGAAACTTTGAAAATGAATGAACAAATGAAAGACGATTTACTTAGGCCCGTTTGAGCTCCATTAATTTTTTGTAATGTATTATGAAACTGTAAATTGATGAAAAATGTATGGTTAAGAAAAAAGAAATATTTTTTGATTTGCGTATAATATTATTTTAATGAAAAACGTGTGATTAAAAATGAAGATTAATGCTAAATGGACAGGGCCGAGAACAGGCCTTGTGACAAGGGGTTGAGGTGGCATCTGAATTCAGATCACCTTAGCCCCCTGTCACAAGGCTTGTCCCCAGGCCCTGTCACTATATCATCTCTCGAAAAGGAATACCATAGAAAAAATAATGGGAAAGAACGGAAAAAAGAGGCTTAAAATTCAATTGAATCCTTACAGTTTCTCAATCAAGTCGGGAGATACATTTTCACGTAACTCATTAGCTACGCGTTCGAGTATAACACAAATACCCTCCTCGAGTATCATATTTCAAGTGCCATCATATAAGTTAACCCCTAATAACTCAAAATTTGCAATTCATACTTACACCAACTATGAATTTGAAGCTACAAATGCCCTCAAACCTCTGTTATTTGTCGTCCTCATTCACAGAATTTAGCCGTCTTAATCTCTGATCGAGCTCTGCCAGCACTGCCGATTCCTGCTTTTTCCGTTCCTTTGATATGGTCGTCGTTGTCATAAACCCAATCTTATCAAAGGCAACCTACCACACAAATGTTAAACAAATTACCGTCACAACTGATCACTTGAAAGTGAATACTACCCGACTCACATCACAACTTTTCATTCGCCATGAACATAAAGCAAGAAAAAAAACACGGTAAAAAAACTATTATGCCATCAGATACGTGCTCTTCAGAAAACTTTTCCTTAATTTCTATCGTTCATTACCCTTCCACCGGGGAAGAATACGAGTACGGTGCTCTTATCAATTCCCCTTGGCTCTCTTATACCACAAGGGGACAAAAGATGATCGATATAGTAATTAGCCCACAGACAGATTTCCTTGACACGAGGAATATAAGTGAGTATGGAGGGGGTTGTTACCGTTAATAATTCATCAGGATCGAAAAGATGACGAGTGGTTCTGTGTATAATATTAATCACATCGCCAACGTGATGTGTCATGAGCAACTCTTCTTCATTCATCTGCATTCATCAAAAAGTCTTCACTTTCCATTATTCAGCTGAAATCAAAACGAAAAAACAAGAAGGAAAACAAGTCTGTCACCTTGAAAATTGCTAATGCTACATTAAACAGAACCTTGCCCCCTTCGTAGAAAAGAACATCCCATACCCGCAGAGTTGTCTTCGATTAACAGACGGAAAAATTGTTAGCAATGAGGTGTTAATATATTTAATGTATAAGAGAACAAAGTGAAAGGTAGTCTAACCTCTGATGGCAAGCTTTTAGAGAATAGACATAAGAACCACTCTGTGGAAACAAGAGAAACATCAAACTCCATAGCTTCCAAATGAGCAGCTATCCTGTATATTCTCCAACTTTAAAATATCACAAAAAGTTAAAAATATAAAAATATATCAGCATCAGATGAGAGAAAAGAGAGTAGACCTTGGACACTTTTTGGTCAGCAGATCTTTAAACACTCTTTGTTCAACATGGCATCCAGATAAGTTATAAGTATAACAATCATTAACTAACACATCTTCTAAGAGAACAGCGAGCATCCAGAAAGCATCTTCTTCTGTTTTCATCACTAGCAATAACAGTGCTGCAACATAATTTAAACCCTACACCGTAATTCTTTTAGTTAGGCTCCATCCAGCCAAATATACTCAAAAGTTAAAGAGAACTCTTCGGGTAAAAGCATGTACTATTATATATTATTAATGCGAAAAGAAAATCCACCTGACAATAACCAACATCAGAATCGCGGAATGAATAACCAACAAGAACACGCCTAAGAGCAGAATGACCTTCAGGAGTGTCCAACCATGGGTGACCAGGGAAAGTTCGAGGCAGGTCCTGCATTCATGCATTGTTAGTACACGTGATTTTGAAAGTGTAGGAACGCAAAGATAACTAAATAAACAAATATGCATCTAAGATTGAAAGATTGTGATATAAATAAAACAGACAAACTTCCCACTACTTTGGTTGTCATTAGCAAATATCTAGTAGCTTGCTTGCAATTACATCCTCTATCCCAGTAAGATGTGCTATAGGATGGTGACGTACGCCAATTTTTCTAATACCATGATCATTGAAATTGCAATTACATCCTCTAAGCAGCTAGGAGTTATGCTAGTGGTAGATCTTTGATACTTTAGATACAATTCAGTAAACTTTCGTCCAAATAAATAGGAGCTGGCTACTTTCGGCTAGGTCCAGAGGCATCTCTTTTTTGAATTGCAAGTGACTATTCCTTTCATGATAACTTCATCTTGTTTTAATTTTTCTTTGTCATTCCCTAATTTACCATTAAAATTTTGAAGTCTGATATCTCTGTAACATCCCTTAACAATAGCAAATGGTTCTCGATTAATTAGTCTGACCTATGTACTACATTAACCATTTCACAAAATCCACAGCAACATATGGCGACCATCCTGACTTGTACTCCCAGTAAAAAATGTGGAGTAAACTTATGGATGAGTTCATTTGGCTCTGATATCTCTATATATCTCTATATATCTCTATAACATGCCTCAACAATAGTAAATGATTCTCTATTAATTAATCTGATCCATACTACATTAACTGCTTTCACAAAATCTACATAGACATATGGCGAACATCTTGACTTGTATTCCCCCATCAAAACCTCTCTTCTTCCTGACATCCCAACTGCCTGCTATAATTTAAGAAACAAACAAGAATAACAGGAAATAAGGGAAAAGATCACATTAGCATGTTCATGCAACTTTTCATTAAGCAGATATAAAGAACATCTATTGTACTTGAAGAGACCGTTTATCAAGGTCTCAATGTGAATGCTGACTTTTCATGTGTAGGAATTGCAAAATAAAATGAAAATGAACACCGAAATTCCATTGGCAAACAAGAAAAGAAGACAAAAACAGAATTGAATTAATAGCTAACATTCAATTAGAAACATGGCTTACTAATAGAAGACATCTTCTGTTCATGGTAATAAGAAAACTATACACGTAGCATACACATGCATGCATGTCAATACACAGGTATTATTTCCTTTGAAATTTACCACAAGAATGTCCCTCACAATATCAACCGTTCTTGAACAACTGAATTTTATATGTAACAGTGAGTTAGATTATATCACAATTTTCATTAATAAGATTGAGTCAAGTCAACGAACTCAAGTGCCAAATATTAATCAACATAAAAACAGGAAGGGTGAATTATGTTTCAGAAGTTATCTATGTAAACAAATGAATATATGCAGTGAAAACGAAAAAGAAAGTAAATGGGTGATTTCACATTGACTTCTTTTTTCCTGGAGAGAAAACCTTAATGTTGAGGACAGCTAGCACCCTTAACACTAAATAGTTAGGAATATCAATCACCAAAGCATTAAATGCATAAAAAAGTCTTCCTTGCTCCATGCACATGCCCACAATCCACACCACCCCCCATCCAACACACACACACACACACACAGAGAACTCTCAGAAGGAAACTAACAGGGTTAAATTAACTCCATCAGACCAACATAGGATACAGATTGACTTATAAGGAAGATCATGGCGCTAGTATTATTGTTCAAAGTTTTAACTCCTTTATATGGAATCATACAACACATTTCTGTTTTCAGAAGATAGAAAAGAAACAGTTTTGTAATTTTAGAACTACAAAATTTCCAATGGAACTCACGGTATTTCCAACAGAAAAGAAACAATCTGGTGGTAAATACTATTGAAAGCTTTCTTGAAAACTTGCACTTCAAACTTGTTCTTACCTAAATACGTTAAACCTGATTCGTTGATCCAAAGTTAAAGAATCCTGTTAAAACGTAAATTCACAAAGTCCGCACTTTCCAAATTTTTCCCAACAACTATCCCCTATTAGTTGTTCAAAAAATCTTCATGGAAGTAAGACTCCGAATGTGCAACATAACGTCAAACGACTTTATCACAGCATCTTAGACCATGGCATTGTCCTGATAATTCACCATTCTAATTTCAATTACTTCCACTAATCATTGCTTTCGTCTTTCCCCCTTGCTCGAAATGTGTTACTCATTCTAATGTGCATAATTGATAGAAAAACATTACGAGAGCATAATCACAAATAACAGAGTGAGCCATGAGCAATGGTTGTAATGCTGCCCAACAATTTAATTTGAATTATAAACCATTAAATCAAAATTACTAAATTCGTAATCATGTGACAGACTCTTTTGCTAAACTTCTAATGGAGTAGTCAAGGCACCTTTGCACAAGAATGAAAAGCAAAACAATTTTCCAATTCCAATGATCGATTAATAATTCATAATGATTTCAATGAAAAATAGATTCTCACTTGATCAATCTGTTTCGTGGCTGGGGTAACCTTATCCTCGACTGCACCAGTCAAGTCATTGTAATAGCTCTCAGGAACGGTGGACTTCTTCTTGGCAGCCCCCGATAAGGAAAACCAGACCTTAGGCCTCAAGCTTGGTGGGATACCCTTTCTAATTAGCCTCTTAAGCGTTATAGCATTGACCAAAACAGAGAATTTGAGCGAAGATTTGAGGGTTGAGTTCAATTGAGTCTGCAAATACCAATTTACACCTTTGCTAGCCTCTAATGACCACCATACCCTGCCCTGTTCTCTCACCTTCTCTCTCACCTCGTTCAACACATTGACATCATCCACATTGCCTTCCACTGTGAAACCATACAGATCTTGAAATTTGACCGTTATGTTTGCCCTTCTTGCACGAATGCTTGGCCTCAGTGCGGGTACCTGCGCTTGGTATTCAATTGCCAGGTCTATCTTGCTGTGGGTGCTTCCATACATCATATTCTTATGGATAATAATGTATATTCTTGAGATTATTACACACAACAGATGGTGGACAGATCAAGAACAATAGAATCAGATTATGGGAGAGATCAAGATAACCCGGATCGTCGAATTACTACATGAACGAAATCATATAACGGTAAATTTTTGAAGATTTGGAAAGAATCCGTCTCTATGGTATTTGGGCCCTTGGACTAAAAATTGGAAAGTTTGAATCTTTCTATATGGGTTCTTTCAAAATTAAATAATAGTATTCAGAAACTCTAACACCAACTCAAAACGTAAGAAGAAAATTTGCCAAAAAGGAAGAAGAAAAAACAGAAGGAAGAGGGATAAAGGGAAAAAGAAAAATAAAATTCCTAAATTTAGAGAGATGAAGAAAGATCCGTGGTCTGAATTCTACAATAAGGAGAGTCGAGAATGAAGAATCAGTAGTGTGGTTGGAATTTGACGTTAGAGAAAAATCAAAGAGAAGCTTTTTTTAATAATGTTAATGGTTTGAATTTTGATGGAGAATAAGCAATTGGCGTGGTCACCATTTACCGGTGATTCCACGTGGAGTTATCTTTGGTTTCTCGCATTAATTATTATCCATATAAATTAATTAGGACATAATGATTAAATAACTTAAAATTAATTAATTTCAAAGTTAAGAAACAGTCTCATATTATATATATGGAAATAAGTACTTTGAAACAAAGCGTATGGATGAAAAGATCAACATGAAATTATTGTAGAATAGTAGAAGATTTGAAAGCAATAATGAATTGTGAATGGTAAAGTTAAATAATAATTATCAATTGTATTATCAATAGTAACTTGAGAATTGAAAAGAATGATACGAACTTCATCGTTTTGAAACATGATACAAAACATTTCAAAAATAATCAATTTTGAATAAGGAATGCTAATGGATCTAGACTATTTGTTGACTCGATGAATCGGCTCGAACAAGCATTCGGTCGAGCTCAAGTCCTAGTTGAGCTTGATTTTTAGTTAGGAGAGTTGAGCCAAGCCCAAGATTCTAGGCTCAAGGACCTGCTGACTAGCCGGCCTGTGGGTCGGACAACATCTATGTTTAGGCTCGTTGGACATACTATGTTTTGCCTATATTGCATTCTATCAAAAAAAATTCAAAATATGATCAATTCTCATTCTCTTGATTAGTTAAGGATTGTTATTTTCCCGACAAAGGGTTCATTTGATTGTAAATGTGAAAAAGGCAAACAAATTCTGTGTAAATTAGAAAAAAATGACACCAAAATCATAGGAAAGCATTTTCCATTCAATTAGCCAAAAATATGTTTTAAATGTTTTGTACTTTGAAATTCGAACTTTATTTTCACTTTCGTATCAAACAGTTAAAGTAAAAAACGAATTTCTCGAATGTGAAATTTTTCATGAAATTTTCGCCAATTAAACGGACCCTAAGATCAAATGTTCGAGGATATCACTCCTCCACTCTCACTCAAATAAAAGAAAAAAGAAAAAAAGAAATCAATCTATGAATTTCAATTATTTAGTTTCCACTTACGCATATTATAGTTATGCCTTAGGGATCCTTGTGATTCACACATGACAAGATGATTTGAACACAAGCGAAAAGTTAAATTTTCCCTTTGCTATTACATGAACTAGTCTAATTTTTTCTTGTTTTCAGCTGTGGATAAACAAAGGTATTCGGTTAAACAAGGTCGACCCTAAAATTTTGGGGGCCTTAGACTAATTTCAAATATGGAACTCTCTGTATATGTAAAAATACATGTAAAATAAAAAGATAATAATATTTTTGGGGCCTTCATCTAAGTGGGGCTTTAGGCAATCGCCTACCCCGCCTATAATCAGGGCGGACACTACGCTTAAAAATGAATAAGTTTCGAGATAATTAATTTAAATGACATAGATTTACAAGATAAACGTGAGCTTATGTCCGTGCTCAATTATCTATTTGTTACTATGAGGTTCTAAATGACCCGTGCTTTCACTTTACATACTGTTCTAAATTTTATTTTGCAACTAGAATAATTTTATTTTACGTTACAATATGCAACAAACTCTTTCGAATAATCAACGGAATGTCGACATATCCTCCTCTGTTCCTATAATTTTCAATTTTTTAAATTGATTAAGACATTAACTCGAAAAATGTTCAGATTTTTAGGCTAAATGATTGAATCAGAGTCGAATGTCGACCACAAGAAGAAGGATTGCAGATGAGAGATTTAAACCGACTCAAAGACACCTGCTACTTATATGCTATTTTAAACAAATTTTTTATTTGTGAAGCAGAATATTTCAACTTTCAAAAAACAAAGTTGAAATTAAATTATTTATATTTAAATAGATAGAAATGATAGATGAATTGTAATTATAAGTTCATTAAAATGTGTGATTGTACAGAAATTTGACCTTTTATAATCGATTTATAAATTAATTATGTATTAGCCAAAAGGTCGCTTAAGTGAGTTATTCTTGTTTAAAAAAGACATTTGGATGGCGTATTAATTTGTGACTATTTTCTTGAATAATTTGAAATATATGATGTCATAGGAAATTATATATTTATCACAGTTAATCAAATTATATTTTACATGACATATTAATTTTCAGGAATTATATATATATATTTTTTTACAGATTATGTAACTATATTGTAGAACATTATATTTTATTATTATATTTTACGTGTAACTCAAATATAACTAAAATAAATTATAATTTTTTTTGTCAAAGTATCTTTTTTTTTTTTTTTTTTTCGAATGGCCTATTTATTCCAATTGATCTTCAAGAAAGTAGTAAACTCTCTCTATTAGGCTTGAGCAAAAAATATCGAAAAATCGACCAACTCAATCAAACCGAATCGGCTTGGGTCGGTTTGATATATGTAATTGATTTGGTTTGATTTATTTTTAAACAAAACCATGATAAGTTGGTTCAGTCATGTTTTGTGAAGCCTCAAATCGCTGGTTAATCGAATCGACTCAACCTACTTAAATATTTACCTTTTTTTAAGAAAAGTAAAAATCAAAAGATAAGCAATAATCCCATAAATATATCTCAATTATCTTAAATCTATGATGTTGCGAGTAATTAATAGCACCGAAAATTTCATTTCACGAGCTCATTATGTTGTAGTTAGCTTTTTTCTCTACTCAAGCATTTGGGTTACATAATGCATTAAAAACAAAAAACAAAAACAAAAACAAAATTCTTAAATTTTTCGTTGACTTGTCTCTATTAACTTGATTTTATTTATATTGAAGATTCTTGTAATATAAAGTTTTTAATTATTTTATTTCTTGTAATCGAAATGGACCCAAAACTTGGACAATTTTTTTATAAAAATTCAATTGGACTAAAAGTCCAAACCAACTAACCGAACTGATTCGGTAGAATAGATTAGTTTGGATTGAAATTTACTCAAATCGACTAATTTGATTTTGGTTTCGAGTTAGAATCGAAATCAATCAAATCAATCTGATCACAGGCCTACTCTTTATTATACAAGGTTCGTCCATTAAGGTTGTGCACATGCCTGCATTTGTTTTCTATACAAATTATCAATTTCTACACCCACCAAACATAAAATCAACCAAAGGCACATATATGTGCACAAAGTGCTTTTTTTTTTTGTCCATAAAATTAATGAAAAGAGCTTATTGAAGGTTTTGATAATACAATAGAAGAAAGATATTAGATTCAACTTATAACTTAAAAGCAGCTTGCCTCTGGCTTATTTGAGAGTGTAAAATCAGGTGCATTTGCTTGTTCGAAAGGTCCCAAAGAAAAGCTAAAAACAGGAAGCTCTTTTCATGGTAAAAGAATAATAGCATATGTGTCTGCAATTACATAAAAATGTTTACTTTATAAAGTTTCAAACAGAAAATTAAATTAAATTAAAAAAAAAAAAAAAAAAAGGGAAAAAGGATTCTCACCTTTTCCAAGAGAGTCTCATGTTGTCACGTCATTCAAAGCTTATAAAAGAAAATAGAAAAACAAGAGGAGAAAAGTTTTTGTGGTTACTAAATACAAAAATGAAAATATGATTAAACCTTAGAAAAATAAAAATTTACTATCCAATCTCATTTCTTGTCATGCATTCTTCTCTTTTCTTTCTAACTCATTTTTTTCTCCCTATAAATACATGCATAAATGAGCATGTACGGATGAGGAAAGAGTTCCTACGCAACCCATTAAGGATAATTTTTACCATAAAAAAAAAATATAAAGATAGAATGAGGAAACAAATATTTTCCACTTATTCACGCTTTTTATATGTTGTATATGCATTTGTAATGGAGAGCCGCTTCCCCGGTTGTATTCGATCAATTGTCTTTTCATTTTTATCTCTTCCATAATAATTATTAATTACACCCTTTTTTATAACGTCAATCTAGATTATGATTTTATTTAGGAATAATTATAGTCGCGATTTCAAAATTTTCAAATTATTGTAACTTTTATTCTAAACTTTATTTATAATGGCATCGATCTCAAAACTTTCAATTATGTGCGATGGAAGAACATCTGGACTATTTTAGTCAAGAGATTCGTTAGTTAATTAAAACTCAACAATCTGATCTTATTTTGACGAACTTTAAAAAAGACAAAATTATAATTTACATTTACATACATAAAAAATAAAATATTAGAAAAGAAAAGAAGAAGAAGAGAGAGTGAACGGTTGTATTGATATCATAATTTTTATTTGTTACACTACATTTTAACTGTAGTTAAGCTCATTTCCTTTACTTTTTTCGTCAAGTTTTTATCTCCAACCTTTTATTAATTAATACGTCTCATCCTTGATGATAATTTATATCAAAATATTTTATTTTCATATTTTAAAATGAGAAAAAAAAATTTTAATGCTTTTTATTTTTTTAAAATAATAAAATATCACGGAAAAATAAGTTGATTTATGCCATTTCAACGAAATTTTGGACATAAAATTGTTGTTAAAAAATATGTGTCAATTAACGAAAAGTTTAAGGATAAGAAAAGCATAAAAAAATTTTGGGGACATAAGTTTCATGATGAACAAAAATCAAGAATCTTAAATACAATTAAAATTCGATGCAAGAAATAAAAATTTATGTTTTAAATATAATAAACCTAAAAAGAAAAATACTTTTTATCTTCTTTACCCATTCTTACCCACCCCAACTGCTCTATCAGTATCCACCTCATCTCAACCATTATTACCACCACACTGTTCTTGAAAAATATAAAAATTATTATATAAAAAAAAAAAAAATTTGTCATGAGATTGTGTTTCACACACACTGACGAGTGACGAACCTCTCTCTCCCCGAATTTTATTTATTTATTTTTTTTTTTTTATTTTTTTTTTTATGGAGTAAAAAGTCTTATCGGCGGCTTTTTTTGCGAATCTCATTTCTAATTTCTCGCTCTTCCTCTTTTGCTATTCTCTCGATTCAGTTTCTGTTTGAAAGGACCCAATTTTCTCTCCTTTGATCTTGAGCGTTTGTTGCTGTTCTTTTAATTCCAGAGTTCAAATTTTCCATCAATACATGAAATTGTGTCAATTGATAAATGTCTTTTATGGGTTTGATCGGTTGTTCCTCATTTTTTTTTTCCTTAGTTCGTTTCATGGTTTAATTGAACATTCTGGATTCTTTCGGCAGGGATGATCTACTTGAATATGTGGGCTTTCAAGCAATTGAAATGTCTTTTACATTTATAATGGATATTGAGGTGCTATCCTTCTTAGCTTTTTGCATTCCATTATAATTATTATTATTTTAAAAAGAAAATGGAAGAGGATAAGGTGTTACTATATGTATTTAATAGCTATGGTGTGTTCAGGGCCATTTAAGGATTGGGGAATTGGAAAATTTGTTTCTCTTTGGGTTGGAAGCTTATTCTTGTATTATAGTGTATTAAAAAGGTGAATTTGCCCGATAAAGGAGGATGTGTTTTGTGGATAAAGAAAAAGATTTAGTGGTAAAATTAAGTGAGTTGTTGAAATTCATTTCCTTTTAATATTCAAAGCTTCCTAGAAAGAATATGATGTGATTTTTCTTGTTGGAATTTACAGTCTGGGTGAAGGGGTAATTCATCTGGATTGAGTGGGGAATTTGAGTGTGTCAATCTAAAGATTTTGGAAGGATTTTTAATAGGGATTTCTGTTACGGATCCAAACACAGAAAATCAGGGTTTTGATTGTGTTGCTGGTCTGGAGTGCATACTGAACGTAATCAGGGTCCTAAGAATGGGATCCTGCCTGTCCGGGGATAGCAGGAGTCCCCAACCCAGTTCTCCTGTGCGGTTACAGAAGAGGAAGGGCTCGAAGAAGAGGCTTGGTTATCAAAATTCGTCCTTTGACTATAAGATTGAGGAGCAGCTACATAGGACCCCCGGGCGTATGTTCTTGAATGGATCAAGTGAAATCGCCTCACTCTTCACCCAACGAGGCAAGAAAGGAACTAATCAAGATGCTATGATTGTTTGGGAGGTTACCTCCTCCTCCTTTATCACAATATGATCAGTTTGAATAAATTGAGTGACTGAGAAAAAAGTTAATATGATTGTAGTGTATTAGATTAATGCTAGTTGTTATATCGATTGTATATATCTTGAAAGTACTGCTTTGGTTTTGCTTTCTGCAGCCTGCACAGTAGTAGTTGGCAAATTGAATAATACTATTTGTTGTGTGTTGATAGTTTGTTTTTTTTTTTTTCCTTAACTGTGATCATTCACATTTCGTAAATTTCGAACTATTGCTCTGTTTCCAGTTTCTTTCTCATATCATTACTAATTAGTGTGATGCATTTTTATTTTTATTTTTTTATTTTTTGGAAGAGAATTTTTTCCTTTTGTTGCTTCGTTAATCTGTGCTTTTTTATTGGTGAAAAAATGTAATTTTTTGTATCTATTTCACTTTGGCAACTTGGGTGTCTATTTGCTCAACATATATTTTTACCCGCCTTCATATAATTTAAGGTTCACAAATAATGTCCGGAGTCTCTTAAGAAAGGAAACAAAAATCCCCAGGAAATTACCATTTTCTTGTCTTCATAGGTATTTTTAACCATTCCTTACTGATATTACAGTTTGCCATGGACAATGTTAGAAAATGAAATTATTATCCTTCATATAATTTTTAATTTCGCCTTTGTTCTAGGTTTATTTCAACATGCAGGCTATTCTTTTTAATTTTAGTTATATCCCACCTTACCTAGTAATTATTTGAGGATGGACATATAGTGGGTGTTTGAGCCCCATTTTTATGGAAAAATAAATTTTAGAATAGTAGATTGATGTAAAACGTATGGATAAAAAATAAGATTTTTTTTTTTATTTACGTGTAATATTATTTTAATGAAGAATATGTGGTTAAAAATAAGAGAGAAAAATGTATTTTGATAAAAATCAGGCTCAATTGGTCAAGGAATCCGGAGATGGGTTCAACTGTTAGAAGTTTCGATCTATGGTGAAAATCAAACAGGGCCATAATATCCTCGATATACTTTAGACTTTGACGCATTATATTGAATATGAACCTTTTAGACTTGCATATTTGTATACTATACTCTAATGCTAGTATATTAGACCTGAGTATTACAATTCATGATCCAGCTTATATCGAATAGTTAGGTACTTAGGTTTGCAATAACCTGATATATAAACGATTATTTTCTAGAGGAGATAATTTATGAGGGGAAAAACGAAATTATTTGAACTAAAATCAGATTACCATTTGGTGTCCTTTGTTTCTTGATCAAGCCTTCTAGAGCCTAAGAAAGTGATTATTCTGTTACTTTAACACGAGCAGTTTCTTCTTTAAATGTATAGACTGAACTTTATATATGTCGACAAATTTGGTGATAGTTTTATCAGATTAACATGGAGTGTGTACTCTATCAATCAGTTCATTTTATTTTCCGTCTCAAAGTTCCTTTTGAGAGATTTCTGTTTGCTGATAGTTTGTAAAATTGGATATCCAGAATTTTGGCTCTAGAGTGGACACAGTCTTCTGTGGTGTTTTTGATGGCCATGGCCCTTTTGGTCACATGGTTGCCAAGCAGGTTAGAGATTCTCTTCCTTTGAAGCTAAGCGCACATTGGGAAGTTAATATAAAGAGTGATGAGGTTTTTCAAGGGATCAGTTTGAATACCAAGGGTAGTATGTGCTCAGAAAGTACATCCTTCTTATCTGCTAACGAGGAAGCTAGAGCTGCTATAGGTTTCGAAGAAACCGGAAAGCAACCTGAGATTTTTCAGATATTGAAGGAATCTTTCCTAAAGGCTTATAAGGTTATGGACAGGGAACTGAAAATGTATGCAAATATTGACTGCTTCTGCAGTGGGACTACGGCAGTGACTCTGGTGAAGCAGGTATGCAATAAGCCCTTGTTTGAGCCCCATTTTGGGGGGAGGAATGCATTTTGTATAGTAGATTGATAGAAAATGCGTGGTTAAAAATTAAAGAAACGTTTTGAATTTGCGTATAATATTATTGTATTGAAGAATGTGTGGTTGAAAATGAGTTTTGAAGTAATGAATTTTTAGAAGAATGGGGCTCAAACAAGGGTTAAGTACAATACTGATGCAGCTGGGATAAGTATTGTTATGTTAAAGAATGCGTTGATTATCTTTTGCAGGGTCAGGATCTTGTGATTGGATACATTGGGGACTCAAGAGCTGTATTGGGTACAAGAGATCAAAATAATTTTCTCACTGCAGTCCAGTTGACTGTGGATCTTAAACCTAATCTTCCATGTCGGTACTCTCTCTCTCTCTCTCTCGAAAAGAAATGATCTTAGACCTAATCTTCCATGTCAATTCACGTACTGATCTCTATTCACAAGTTTATGAAGTAGGAACGGTACTAGATTGTTAGATCTTCTGGTTCTATCCCACTAGATAAATGTTACCATATATTTTATTTTTATTTTTATGGTGGATCTTTAGCCTTCTGAGTACAAATTATTATCTTCTCTAATTTATTTATTATGGAACAAAAAGCATATAGTTCTTCTAATAGTACCTTGATTAAATATTTGCAAATATTTGACATTGGCTCACCAAGGACTTGACCAACCTTGAATTAAATCCACTTTTTTTGTGTTTTTTTGCCTGCTGCAAATAGTTATCCGGAAATCTTTAACATTTTGCACTTCTGCAGTATGACGAGGACCTGCCACTTAAACGTTTGAGTGATCTACTTCTGTTCTTTTGTGCATTTCTCCTTTTTTCCCCTTTAACGTATTAAATTCCTTCTTTGGCAGTTGTTTAGCAAATATGTTATTGTTGTTTTACATATTCTGCATGTTAATGTGGCTATTGGAATACGAGTACAAATATACAGGTATTAACAGTAATCATATATAACTTAGAACTAGCTCTCCAGTGCTATATTTGGCATTTGTTGCCAATATTGATTTTGCTCAACTAAATTTACGTGATGTGATTAAATAAATTCTGATGCGGGATTCTGTCAAACTCAAATGATCCATTTAGTATTAGATACAAGAATCATCTCTTTATTAACTCCATCCTTAATGATCTTATAGCGGAAGCAGAGAGGATTCACAAATGTAAAGGACGAATTTTTGCCCTTCAGGATGAACCTGAGGTTGCACGAGTGTGGCTGCCAAATTATGACTCTCCTGGCCTTGCAATGTCACGTGCATTTGGAGATTTCTGTCTCAAGGAATTCGGTCTTGTCTCTGTTCCAGAAATTTGCTATAAACGTATTACTGATAAGGATGAGTTTATAGTCTTGGCAACAGATGGGGTATGGAACTCAAGGTTTATACTGATGGACTGCGTTACTCAATTTCTTGACATTTGTTCTGGATTTGGTGTGATTTTTATCTTCATTTCAGGTTTGGGATGTGCTATCAAACAAAGAAGTAGTTGACATCGTGGGTTCTTCTCCCACTCGTTCATATGCAGCCCGCACGTTAGTAGAGTCAGCAGTTCAGGGTTGGAAGCTCAAGTATCCAACTTCCAAGGTTGACGACTGTGCAGTGGTTTGCCTCTTTCTTGATTCGAACTCAAAGGACTCAACTATTTCGACAGCAAAATCCAAGAAAAACGTTGCTGCAGAGGATGATTTCTACAAGAAAGATAATTCTCTTTATACAATCGGATTTAACCGCTCTGGTACTGTTAGAACTAGTGAACANGCAGAGGATGATTTCTACAAGAAAGATAATTCTCTTTATACAATCGGATTTAACCGCTCTGGTACTGTTAGAACTAGTGAACAAGTTCTTGGAGAAGAGAATGAGGCTTCAGATGCAAATAAGGAGGAACTCTCCGACCTTGAAGAAACAAACGTGGAGGTTGGAAAAGAGTGGACCGCTCTCGAAGGAGTCGCCCGTGTGAACACATTATTGACCTTGCCAAGATATGTGCCACCAAAAGAAGAGAAAAACGCTGCAGGAGATAAAAAGGGTAGAAAATGAAAGCCAAAAAAATATTGTTTAGATTTATTTTGTAGTTCCTGTTTTCCTAAATATGTTTTTCCTTTCTTTCTCGAAAAATTAGTGGTCTTCGATGTTTATTCAGGACCAGAGAGGTGGTTATATTGCCTGCGAATAATACTCTTCATCTCCATTGTAGGTGGTAATAGAATTTTTGCAGAATTCAACTCTCCCTTCTCTCCTTTGTTGTACATTTTTTTTGGTCGTGTTGATAATATTTCCTTTAGCTCAACTTGTAAGTCATGCTTCTTTGCTTTAGAACAGTTAGTAGAATGTCAGTTTACGTTCATACTGAGCGTGCGTGGTGTATTTATTAGAAATACGTATTAATATTTAATAGGTGTGTATTTAAAATGTGATGATTTAAACAAAAGGGGAACAATCAACAAATACATTTAAAATGTTAATTAATTCGATACTTATTTTTCAACATTTTTATTCTCAAAATACTGGTTTTTTTATTTTCATTATTTTACAATAAATTTTGTGACACAATATATTACATTTTGTAAAATTATGTGGCACATTTCACCATCCTATTTCCAATGTCCTGGTCATCATGACCACTTGTAACATGTATTACACTTCCCTCGCAGTCTATTACACTTGTAACTTTCGGCACCACCACTATAAGCCACAACCATCAACCCCGACGCGGCGGCGCCAACACTACCATACAATCAAATCCACTGGCACTATCTATTTGCACCACCACCACCAGATCTAAATTCTGACCACAAATCATATGGATCACATGGCACCACTAAGTCACATTTGTCAAATCCAAATATGATGGCTCAGTTGAGTTAAAGGATTCACTCAACACTATGGCATAAATTATGAGGAACCTCTATAAATATGGCACACTTTTGCAGCCACTTCTGTCCATAGGTTGAGTATCTCTCGTATGGAGGTTAAGAATGCTTCTTGAATGGGAATCTTCAAGATGAAGTTTATATGTTACCCCCTCCTCGTGTTTCCTATAACCATTAGGACATTAATGCAAACTTAAGAATGCATTTTATGGTCTCAAAGAGGCACCTTTTGCCTGGTTTGAGAAAATTTATACTTGTTATGCCTCTCTTGATTTTTCTTCTGATCAGCATGATTTCGCGTTGTTTGTCTGATATACCTGGATAGGTCGTATCTTCTTTCTTTGTAAGTTGATGAGACGATTATTATTAGTGATTATCACTCTTTGATGTTTATTTGTTAATCAATTTGTTGCATCTCCTATATCATTGGATTGTTACTGTTTTCATTTCCTGATATCTTTTGTGTACTTCCTTTCACAATTTTTTATTTTTATCGATTTTATCTTCAGAGTAACGTGCGTACTTTGATAATGATTGGGCTAGTGATCCCACTAACCTTGAGTCCACTAGTTTCTATGTATTTTTGGATGATTTTCTTATCTTTTGGAGAAGTAATAAGCAGTCTGTCATTTTTCAATCTTCTACCGAAGCTGAGTTTCATGTTGCAGCATCTACCATCAATGAAATTATATGGTTGCATTGATTACTTGACCATCTCCTTTGTATTGTGCTAATAAGAGTGTTAATCAGATTTCTAATAATTTTGAGTTTCAAAATCAGATGAAGCACATAAAAATTGATTGTCATCTTATTCGCCGTCACCTTTAGAATGACACTAGTATTTTCCATTATGTTTCTTCATCGATGTAACTTGCTAATTTTTTTAGACGTTGCACCAATTCAATGTTTTCGTTTTTAAATTAACTCACTCTTGTTGCTTGTTATTGCATTGTGAATTTGAGAGAATGCTATAATAGTTATAGTTTTTGTACTTATAATTTTATATTTTATAATGGTGTGTCATTTACTAGCTTGATTAGGACAGTTTTGACTTTTCACTTACTAAAGTAATTGATTAAAAAAACTTTTATTCTCATTTTGTATGTTAAGCCTTTTGGTTCTTTGAAAACGTTGTCCCTCTTTTTGCTCTGGGTTGTCCCTTTCGCATAGATTCATAAGTTTTAATAGTAACACATTTACGTCCAATAAAATCTCATTTGAAAATATAAACCAACAATCATAAGTAGGTTAGTTCGAATAAATAGACGTATATTAATTTCTAGAGTCAGTTGAATAGAATTATTTCATAGCAGATATCATATTTAGAGCCCGTT